CGACAATTTTAATATGCTATTGAACCAAATGAGCGTTTTAACCAATCTTTTGATTAATAATTCCAATAACGTGCCTCCATCCAATAATAACGCTCAGACTGATCAAATCAAATCAATCTTTTTTACAACGACCCGCTACTATCAAAGAAAATAACCTGGAATTGAATATTGGAATAATGAATACTTCGGTGAAAGAACCGAAAGTACCTAGCTCTGACCCCTCTAGAATTAAAAAACTGGAGGAATTGCAGAAATTTAATGATGTTAATTGGAAGGAGGTTCGGTATTCTGATGCTTTAAAAACTCATAGTGCTCAACCTGGTTTTGTTGAACTTCGTATTAATGACGAGCTACGTCAATATATAAAAGGCAAAGATATCTCGGCTCCCGTAGAACGAGCTTTAGCCGCCATTTCGAACGCATTGCTCTCTCAACACGAGTGCCTCAAGCAACAACTACAGGAGTTTGTTAACTGGGCAGCTGCGCCCAATACTGAGCTTAATCCATCTAACGTGTTTGATAAAATATCCGATTTATTTAATGAAAAGTCAAAATTTCATAAAACTAGTGAAGATATAATGCAAATAGTTTGTGGCAAACGTGCGGAGTGCATCGAGACTCGTCGAGACCGTATCTTGGCGGAAATACCTAACAAATATTTACGTGACGGTTTACGAAGGATTCCGCCCAGTTCAGAATTCTTATTCGATAGCTCGGCTTTGCAATCTTATATTCAGAGTACCAGGGGAATCGACAAATGGATCCGGCCATGGAATAGTCAGTGTAGTGAAAGTGAGCACAAGCGGGTCGTTCAAAGGCAACCGAAAGCAGGTACATCGCGTGATAGAATTAATAATAAGCCCTTTCGAGCAGATCAAAAACAAAGAGTCGGGAAACAGGAACGTTCCCCTACAACCGCTAAATCCGCTAATTTTACAAAAATCAGAAAAGTCAATCAAAAGGAATTTACCAATGATAAGAAAAAATTCAAATGACTATCAAACCTTCCACAGTTTATTTTACGGAGGCTGTCTCCGAGCGTATCGGAGGCAGTGGCAGACGCATCAGGCTCCGAAGGCTATCCTGAATATGATATCAGGGATGCGTCTCCCATTCACCTCCAGGCCTGTGCTTGTCCCAGCAACACAGTCCAATCTTCTGCGGTTCAGCACACCCGAGTCGTCAGTTATGACCACACAAATCGAGACCTTGCTATCACAACGAGTTCTCGAAAAACTGGTTTCAAGTCGGATGGGTATGAGTTTCTTCTCAACAGTATTTCTTCGAAAGAAAACCGATGGCTCCTACAGACCGATTTTCAATCTCAAACGCCTAAATCAATACATAATTCCAAAGAAATTTCGGCTGATTTCTCATTTCCTAATCCCGAAATTTCTACAGAGTCAAGATTGGATGGTGAAAATAGATCTTTCATCAGCGTATTTTCACGTACCAATAATTGGCTACCATCGCCGGTTCCTGCGCCTCATTTACCAGGGGGAAGTCTACCAGATGACCAGTCTTCCCTTCGGACTGTCATGCGCACCAAAAAATTTCGCCACAATCACCAATTGGGTGGCTCAGGTTCTTCGGCGGAAAGGTATGAGAGTTCTAGTCTATCTCGACGATTTTTTATTAGTCAACCAATCGAAAGAGTTGTTAGAAAAGGAGGTGCATGTTACAAATCAGCTACTACTGCAGTTGGGCTGGACCATCAATCGCGAAAAATCGATATTCACTCCAACACAGGAGCTGGAGTATCTAGGTATTACGTGGAACACTGTCAAAAACTTCAAATCTCTCCCTCAACGCAAGGTAAAATCAATAATGTCCTTAGTGAACAGCATGTGCAAAGCACCAACCCTGAAGGAATCCCAACTATTGGGAACTCTCAATTTTGCCAATTTTACAACACCAGGGGGGAGACTGCATTGCCGGCACCTACAAAGATATTGTCGAAAACTAATTCGATCAACAGGTCAGTCAAAAACTGTTACCTCAGAAATAATAACGGACTTGAACTGGTGGAAGACAACAATAAAAGAAGGTCTGACGAGCAGCCCCTTACACGAGATCCCTGTACAACATTTTTTGACGACAGATGCGGCGGATTACGGCTGGGGAGCTCAGTTAGACGACAAATCTATAGCAGGCAAGTGGAACCAAAATCAAATAAATTGGCATTGCAACTTGAAAGAAATGTTTGCTATAATATCCGCAGTGAAACACTTCAAACATACTTTAAGAACTCGTCATGTAATTCTGCAGTCGGACAATCGAACCGTAGTTGCTTACATCCGGAACGAGGGGGGGACAAAGTCAGAAGCTCTACTGGAATTGACCCACGAGCTTTTTCAAATACTCTACCAATTGAAGATAATACTCACGGCGGAATACCTGCCTGGCCGATACAATCAGATAGCAGACAGCTTGTCAAGAGGCAAGAAATCTGCGGAATGGCATCTACTACCAGAGGCATTACAACCGATCTTTCAGAAGTACGGGACTCCCGAAATAGACCTTTTTGCATCAGAGAACACGAAAGTGGTAACAGCTTATGTATCCAAAGCTGCGAGCGACTCTTCAGCAGTTTTCTGAAACGCCTTCAGCAAAAGTTGGTACTTCAATTTGGCATGGGTTTTCCCACCACCTTCACTGATACCCAGAGTGCTAACTCATCTGAATCAAGCACAAGGTAAGTACCTGTTAGTAGCACCACTTTGGAAACGAACCTACTGGCTACCCGATCTTCGGAAACGCGCGTTAGCACGTCCCATGAAAGTAAAGAACCTACACCGTGTTCTGATAGATCAGGTAACAGGCCTACCACCTCCTCAAGTCCAGGACATGAAGCTTTTAGTATGGAAAGTTGGGGGTGGGCCGAAGCAATAAAGAATTGGACAGAAACTGAAAAAACATTGCTCAAGCACAGTTGGAGGGAATCTACTCTCAAGACATATAGACCAGCCTGGCTTCGCTGGACCCAATGGTGTAAGGACTTCAATTTTGATTACAGATATCCTAATAGTGATTCTCTTTCAAAATATTTAGCACATCTCCACTTCAAAGAAAAAATGTCTTACTCGACTATTCTATTGCACAAATCTGTTATATTAACTTTAGGCTCCCCTAGAGAAGATCTAAATTCAAATTTCTTCGTAAAACACATACTGAAAGGAATTTCCTTACAGCAACCTTCAACTCAGAAAGCTCCTACTTGGAATCCATCTGACCTGACTTCCTGGTTAAGCTCCAATTCACCGGTGCAGCTAAACCTGTTTGAAGCTTCCCGTAGATTAGCTTGTATATTACTATTAGCATCTGGTAGAAGGGTGCATGATTTAACATTATTAAGTGTAACTCCCGAACTCTTCAATGATATGGGAGATCATATAATATTGTGGCCTAAGTTCGGGTCCAAAACTGATACCACTAAATACAGGCAGTCGGGTTGGAAACTAACAACCAACAGAAATAAAAATATTTGTCCAGTGTTCTGGTTGCGTCAAGTTTCAGAAATTGGTAAGCAGAGAAGAACAGCGGAGTGTAACAGTGCCTTATTTATTTCTATCACGGGTGAAACCAAAGCAGCTACTAGAACCCTTATCGCTAATTGGATAAAGACTGTGTTCAAGGATGCAGGTATTAAAGCATCCCCAGGAAGTGTACGCTCCGCTGTGGCTTCATTGAATTGGTGGAATAACTTACCTATTGATGATATTCTTTCACGGGGTAACTGGCGAAGTGAAAATACTTTCGCAAAATTTTACTGCAAACAAATTAGAAGTGGATCTAATTCGAATAATCCAAATAATGTCTTGATTAAAAATTTTCAACCAGTTCAATGAAAATATTATTCATAAAACTTTGTATAAAATACCTATGAAATGTTTCAACGGTAACATTGTGCATGAATTAGTGTTACATGTATAAGTATAATAGTTAATGATTTTGTTGTAATTATAACATAATTATAAGTAAACAATAAGTTGACAAGTTTGTCCAAAATGTTATTTTGTTACTGTTTTACATCGATTAAACGTAATAAAACAGGATGGCACCATCTTTTCAATTGCATAACCTAACAAATATGTAAAAGTTATGTTTCAGGCACATTAAATATAAAACGGACGAATAATCGTCGTCACATAGCGTCATCAGCATCCCTAGTCACCAGGAGCTAATAAACACATCTCTCACAGATGCTGTGCATCGTCACATGCCGATAATAGTACAAGTTTTACATAATAATAAAACTTGTATTATAGAGCAGAGACGATGCACAGCATCCAATTAAGGTCTCCTGGTGAGAGACTCTATGAGAACTCAGTGCACAAGACACTCCTAAGGTGACTAAAAATGGCGCCAACCGGAAGTAAGTCAATCCAATTATTAATTTAAATGAGGTTGCCACGACAACCATAGTGGGGGTAAGAGTAAAGAACGGAAGTAGCTAGACCGGAAGTCGACGCACTCTCTCACAGATGCTGTGCATCGTCTCTGCTCTATAATACAAGTTTTATTATTATGTAAAACTTGTACTATTTCTATGAAAGTTCTGGTTTTAACGATTATAGAATCTAATAGGTTTCTACTTACCTGTAAATAATGTGGATTTGTTCGGATATCTATAGAAAATATCAAGATCCTCATAACGAAGAATGGTAGCCAGCAGACGACAAAAGAAAGAGTCAGCGCTACTGAAAACCACAAATATTGTCACAAGGCACATCTTCTGAAACAGCAATGATGTGAATATTTATGTAACTAAATAACTATTAAGTATTTATTATGAAACATCAGTTGAAGAAACACGTATGAATTTATCTATCTTTAAATTCATGTCAATAAAACTGCCCTTTACTTCGATCTATCTTAATCTTATGACTGCATTACTATGATGAGTATTATGACTATGGATATTTTCAAAGAAAACACTCGGTTTTGCAGCTTAGAGAAAAGTTTATTAACTTGACCAGCTGGTTACGCTACGATGAATCAGAGTACGATCTTAAAATGTACGTTTTCATATAAATATCTCCAGAAATAAGCACACAGTCTAACAACGTAACTTACCGACCAGTTTGTTTATTTTACTCCTATTATTGCGTTGGTTAAATATGATATCCCGTGAAGTCTTCCTTGGAATCATATTCACTTTGAAAGCAATAGCTGTGTACACGAACGTCATAATTATAAGAGGTATTATGAAAGTAATCACACCCAGCACACTATTAAGCCATCTAGCAAAAGTCGATGGCAACGGGAAGCACATCCGGAACGACTGCGTCTTTATCAAATCAACTGTCCAAATTTCTGGTAAAGTTTCCAATATAGCCGCTGTCCATATCAGAATTATTATTTTCATTACCCTCCGCCAAACTGGTTTAGGGTTGAGCAAAAGAGGGTGGTATATTGCGATGTATCTCTCGATGGCTAATGCAGTCATAATCAGGATCCCGTTATTAAATAAGGTGACCACTAAGAAGAAATGAATCTTGCAAACGCTTCTATTATATAAAAGTGTGTTTTCGTAGTCTTTGAATACCTCTAGGTATCCGAAAATTTCTAAAATAATGCCAAATGCGACCAATAAGTCAGATACGGCCAAGATGAAAAGATAACAATTGGTGGCAGTGTGCATGGACTTATCGAAGAATATGACGACGCACGTCAAAAGGTTACCGATCACGCCACCAACAAATATTACAGACATGAGAATTAGAAATAAAATTAGGATCCAATCGGGTCGTCGGATAACGGATGCCTCTAACATTTCAGACCACTGACGCAAAATGGAAGCATCGTCCTTAAATGAAGTAGATAGATTAGACATATTCGCATAAAAATAATACTAATATCCTCAAAATAATAATTAGGAACTTAAGTAAACCAGTTTCGGTGGAGTCCCGATAGCGACTAGAAACATGGCACTGTACGCATGACTTTGGTCACCATTATCTTAATTGCTTAGGTACTATGTTTGTTGACCAAATTTGCTCAAAGCTTTATAGATTATCCTCATAAAAACTACTTAGTGATGTGTAATACTAACTATATAAAATGAGGGTTTTTTTCTTTATATTGTTTTTACAAACAAATTTATCGTAAAGTATTGCTAAAAAGGTTAGATTATCTTGATTTATTTAATATATAAAAGTTATCGTATCGATATGGATTGGTTGTGATAAAGATGCTGCTGGTAAACGAATTGTTTTTTGGGAATCAATGAGAAATTTTAATATTATTGGACTTAGTATTGTTTGTAACAAAAGAGTCGTAAATGTTATATTTAATTATAACATTTACGACAGGGGTTCTGATTTTTTTCATAGACATCTATCAAACTTTTACTTCACTTTGTAATGAATATGGAATATACAAGATATTACAATCTTTGATCCATTCCATCCAGCGCACACTCTGTGTACCGCGTGGTGAGCCCCGATCTCTCGGACATGCAGTATGGCTTCCGCAGGCAGCGCTCCACTGTGGATGCTATACTCGCTCTCAAGGTAGAGTGCACTAGGGCGACTAGAAGGGGAGAGGTAGTTGTTGCGGTGTCTTTAGACATCTGAAATGCCTTCAACTCCTACCCCTTCCAATGCATGAAAGACGCCCTAGTTTTTCACAATGTGCCGGAGTATCTCCGCAACGTGATCCTTGACTATCTTACGGATAGAAAGGTCACATTTGTGGATGATGCAAGTAGGGCCGTCAAACTACGGTACGAGATGCCATTAGACGATTTCGGGAGACAGGCTTATACACCAGTAGGCCAGGTCAAGGTCGACATCGATGCATTTCGACTTATTACCGTTTTGTTGTCATCAATGTGTTGAGAATGGCTTTTCGAAGCTAATGAAGCTCGTACGCGTCTTTTTGAGGTGAGAAATGTCAGTTAGTGAACGAACCATTGTCTACAGGCGTAAAATGAGAGGTTTGCTCCATGCACTATAACCGAAACAGTAGGTTACCAGGAAGGGTCCATAAGGGTATGAAAAGTTATAGGTCTATCAGAATCCCATGACATTTAAAAAAAATAAAAAAATGTGAATTTCATATTGCAACACTCATGTTACCCGTCAATCATTATGTCACTTAGTTGTCATTCGTTGCTAAAATTTTGTTGGTGTCGTAAATATTTCATATTTTATGAGAAAATGTCGAAAAAACCTCTTTAGTCTCAAGCCTCATATTGTTTTCAATGTCTACAATAAAATTCGCGAGGAAGGTGAAAATCAAACACAATCTTCGATTTTAAAGCGCGTCGTAGCTTTGACCGATAAGTTGAACTGAGTAGTATTGATACATTTTATATTTATTATAACATTAACTTATATCAAAGATATTTTTAAAAGAAACTGAATGATTATGTATTAAATAGATTTTGATGCATTTTTATTTTTATCATATGTGAAGGCACATCAAATGATGGTGTATTTTCTACGCCCGGTAAAAAGAGAAGAGGGGGAAAGAAAATAATTAATTTAGATAGTTTTGATTTAGAGTAGCTCGGTGGCGTAGTGGATAAGCGCCACGGCCCGTTGTCGTTAAGTAACTTTCGCAAGAGTCGGTCACGGGATGGGTGACCAAAAAATACTATCTCGAGCTACTCCATGCTTCGGAAGGCACGTTAAGCCGTTGGTCTCGGCTGCATTTGCAGTCGTTAATACCCTCCAATCCGCATTGGGCCAGCGTGGAGGGTCATGGCCCATCCTCCTTAACCATCCGTAATGCAAGGCCTGAGCCCCTGCAGTGGGGACGTAAAAGGGCTGATGGTGATGATGATGATGATGATTTAGATTTGATTAGGAACAAAGTTAAAGAATTCTATACAGTTCGAAAAAAAATTCCAACAGTAATGAAAATTTTACAAATTCCTTGTAATGATATTAACTTCCAAGGAGGGAGAGAATCATTAAAGTGAGGAACAATATCTGTAAAATACAAACTATGTATAATAATCACTGGTAAACAGTATTTCTGTTAAACAAAATCGAGTTGGTTTTTTAAATACTACTAACTACCCGCATATAAACCTCATACTTAGTTTTGTTCAATCACCCTCAGTTTTCGTTAAACATAAACTAAATTGATTACGCGAATTTCGCTTACCGATATTGTTTCCGATAAATTAATATTGAATTATTGAAATTAAAACGGTTTTTTTTGTGATTGTCGTTTCTGTACACCGTAAGCCCAGAGTGTGTGTAAACCATCCTGATAACTTTTGTTACATTTGCGGTCAACTTACTATTAAAAGTCAACGTCGTAATTTGACACCATTAGTTAAAAACTGTTATTTTAATTATTTTGGCTTTCCGGTGAAATTTGGATAAAACCTGGACTCCTAGTGTTTGTTGTGCACAATGTGTTAGTTTATTAACATCATGGGCTAAAGGATCTCGTCATATGCCGTTTGCAGTTCCAATGATATGGTCTGAACAAAAAGACCATGTATCAGATTGTTATTTCTGCCAAACTTCTATCAACGGTATTAATCACAAATCTAGACACACCGTGAACTATCAGAATTTACAATCTGCTCCAAGATACACTTCTTACACTCTCATTTGGATTTTTTCCTCAAAATTTGGGAGCCGTTAGTGATGAACACGGCGAGCGATTCCATCAGAATATATCCAACATGGAAAAACGGTACCAAGGCAAGTGGAGTCCGAACATGTTGGCTGATTACTGTTGGACACTCAAAATAGACGTACCTGACGCTAAACATTCCCGAAAATCCTGAATAAAAGTCAAATGTTAGTTGTTTTTCTTGATTAAATTCAATTTTCAACCATATTTACTTAAAAAAAAGTGTATTGCAGTTGCAAGAAAACTGAGGGTGACTGAAACTTTTTAAAAATGCAGATTATTAACAGGCTAATTGTAGATACAAAATATCCCATTCAAATTAATTTAACTTTCATTAAGGTCATTTTTGTCGATCAGTGTAATTAATGTAATGTCTGAATAATAATTAATATATACATAAATATCGTCATCAGCCTATTGTAGTCCACTACTAGACGAAGGCCTCCCAAGGACATACCCATGGGAGGTTTTGCCTGTAGTCACCACCCGGGGCAGACGGGTTGGTGACCGCAGTGAATGATATGTCATTTCGGACTGTGTTTTCAGTATAGGAGACGATGTTATCCACCACCAGTATAATCCCTTTATCGCCTCTTACGATATGAAAGATATGGGGTGGTGCTATTCTACTCAGCCGGCACCCCATATTCACTTATACATTTTGTACATAAATATCAATTATACATAACTACATAAATTAAAGTTAAAAAATATTGTTATATTTGATTTTTCAGACTAATTCTCAGAGATTGGCTTTGAATATGTTAAATGTCAATCGAAAAGAGTAATTTTGATGGAGCGAAATGACATAAAATTACAACGATATAAATATTTAGAACGCTTTAAGAAAAACAGAGAGGCTGAAGAATATAACAAATTAGATGAAACATACATTCATGGTTCATGTTCCGTGAACAAGTGCTGGCAAAGCAAAGACGTTGCAGGTCCATCTAAATCTATATCACTGGGAGCAAGGTGGATTATTGTTAACGCCGGTGGAGAAAATGGCTTTGTACGAAATTGTTGCCTAGTATATAAATCAAAAAGTATGTCTGCTGTCTATCACCACGACATGAATAAAGAAAATTTCACGAAGTGGGTGACCGATAAGCTTATTCCAAATCTGGCAAAACCATCAATTATTGTGATGGATAACGCAACTTACTCGTATCATACCGTTCAGCTTAACAAACCACCCACACAAGATAATCGCGTCGCTGAAATAAAAGAATGCAAACAACATTCATTTTGAGGATAAGTGGCATAAATGTAAACTAATTGAAGCTTTCCAGAAGAACAAGTCCGATCCTGTATACGAAATTGATCAAATGTTAAAATCATGTGGTCATAAAGTTTTACGGCTCCCACCTTATCATTGCACACTTAATCCTATAGAAATGATTTGGGGAATAATGAAGCAAAAAGTAGCTGAAAAAATGTAAATAGGCCTGCAAGTGATATCAAATCACTAACTTAGGAAGCTTTTTCGCAAATTGGTGTGGTAGAATGGCGAAAATTGTCAACATTTTCAAAGCATCGTCAACGAGTTTATAGAAAAAGACAGGATATTTGAAGATCTAGAGGAAAAGTTTTTTATTAATACCTCCTTATCTTCATCATCTTCTTCATCTGACGAAGAACAAGAAATGGAAATTGAGTTTATAGAGTCGTTTTCTAGTTCTTAATAAACTAAATAACATTACAAGATTTTTTAATCATCCCCTTTATAAAATTCTCGAAAATTATATGTATGTTTGTATTATTATTATGAACATATATTATTTATATTTATAATATAAAGAGAATAGATTTGTTTGTTTATTTGGTAGTTTTTAATGGATAAACTCAAAAACTGTACAGATTATTCTGTTTTCACCAGTGTGTGAATCAATCGAAGTTTAGGTACCAACTCCAAATCGGTTAAAGCTAGTGTATGTACGTACAAAATCAAAATTTCCCTGTTCCTTTTACAATTTAAATAATTAATAATATTAAAAGTATCAAGATCATTTACTCCAATTTCTTTGGTGTGGCATACATGAAATTTTAATTTCCCTAATCGCCATGAGATTCTGTAGTTCTATATTTCTTATGAGGCTCGTACCGATCTTTTTGAGTTCGAAAGAGGAAGTGTGGATGCTCAAAGAGACTTGGGAGAAGTTCTTTAAGACCATGTCATACCTTTCGCTCCGTTCATTGGTGACAACTTCAGATTAATGCATGACAACGCACGTTGTCATACCGCAAGATTCGTCAGTGAGTACTTTAACGAGGTCGGGAGTCAAGTTTTACTATGGCCCGCACGCAGTCCCGATCTTAATCCAATAGAGCACATTTGGAACAACTTTAAAGGACGTGTCCGAGCAAGAGTATCAGTCCATACTGCAGTAGAGGAGTGGTACAATTTCTCCGGATATCGGATATTCAAGACATCATCATGGATGAATTGACAAATCGGCTCCAAAGAGTCATAAGGGCCAGAGGTGGAACACCCACTCTTAATTTTTATATTTTAAGGGGGCAACCCCTTATTTTCAAAAACAAAATTTTTGGTAAGCATCCTTTAATAAAATACTTTTTTTCTAATATTTTTCTTGCTTCTTTAAGTATAGTTTTTAACATTCCTTTCATAAAATATTGTCTAAGTTTAGCGATTTTGCGAATTAAAAGATATGGAAGATGAGTGGTTAATTTTGCCTCTGAGTGTATATCTGCCTACATAACATCCACTTTTGTCATACTAACGTACTCCTGGTCACTTTGGGAATCAATGAGTTACAATAAAAACAGAAAATACGAAATAATATTTTTATTGAGTCAAAATACTGTTTTTAAAACTAATAAACACGAAAATATATATTCTGTTACATTTACTGTATATAGTTATGTAGTTTGATTTAATGATAGTCCTTTTCCTGATGATATAGTAATTGATATGGGAAAATATATTAATTACTTAATTCGTCACAGTAAATTCTCCTAATTAGTTTTGCTCGTTGCCATAACGTTAGGAAATATTAACACACTAACAAGATTATCTGTTATGTATTAATTACTATATTAAAAATATCTTTGTGCGATAAATTTCCTAAAAAAATAACATTCAATTTTTCATAAATATTATCATAATGAGAGAAATTGTTTACACATTTTTTTTACTTTTCTTACATTAGGATAGAAGGCAGTATCTTTAATTTCATCGCGAATTTCGAAACATTTCCGAACTTTGTCAATATTAGGTATATACGGGTACACAGTTTGTAACTTGCATTATCATTTCAGAGAATTAATGAAAATATTTAGCTATACCATGAATCTATCTATCTATATAGTAAATACCTTTGGCGGTTCAAAGACATATGATCATACCTTATCTTAAAAAATATTTTAACATTATAAATTAAGTGATAATGTAAAATATTATCACTGGAAATAAAACGTAATATTCAATTTATCTAGAACATTAATTCAGATAATATATATAAAATTCGTACCATTACTGTCAATTTTATCACACAATTACCCTCAATTATATCACAAACTTGTTTAAAATTATAGTTAATTGCTAGAACTAGACTGCACATTATGTTGAGTAAACCAGCCGTGTAAACATTTTGGTGCCGGAGAAGTAGTATAGAAATCTGCACGCCCTAGTACTGTTAGATCTTTAGCTGCTAGTATTATTAACGATACACGATGAGTGTTACTTCCAAACACTAATGAGCTCAAGAGTACGCCATCGTCTTCTTCCTGTGTGATAAATAAATATGTGTGCATCAAGATAATTACAGACATAATTATGGAATTGAAATTCAGCGTCAAAATGGAGCTTAAATGTTATTTTAATTAATTAAATTTTTTGACAAAGTAAAACCGTATTTTTTGGTGATATTAGTGTAAATATTTAATGGTAACTTGATGCTGCATACAAATTAAAGGAATGAATGTCAAACGCACATTTAATAACAAACCTATTTTGTGTCGAGGAATTTTAAGAAATTATAGTTCCACCTATATTAGTCATAAGAATTCTAACGGTAGAATTATTAATTACAGATTTTATTGACTTTAGTTTTCTGTTGACCATCGATTTATAATTAGTGATTTAGGATTTGGTGATTCATTAACCTTAGCATCAGGAGCGGAAACGAATATTGGTTCACTGGGGTAACAGTCCGCCTCGCTCCAGGTCTTCACTTCACCCGTCTCGGTATCTACTTTGATTACCTGCCAAAAACAATTGTCCCTATCGTCATCGACCTTAAAAAAATCTCGGTTTGTTGGAAAGTTATATGTAGTAATTAGTTTAGTTTATGTAATCTATAAGAGTTAAATACCAATTACAGTTAAACTTACCATAAATATTATAAGCTAATGCGTAACTATAAAAGTCGAACAAAAATATTTTTGACACGAATCAGTGTACTATAACAATGTTTCAAAACGTATCGCAATATTAATCATAAGTAATATGAAGTACACAAATTAGTTTTAATTATATATATTTTTTGTTTATGAAGACATAAATGACTATAGTGAATAAATGAAGTTACTTACAGCACCAGGATACTCGGCATCTACATCGGAACTGATAGCATAGAAGTATCGGTAGGGACGTGCTAAAAACAAGAACAATATAAACAACTGTCTTCAAAATAAAGTTATTTCTGTCAATTTACTTTAAATAGGATCACACTACATATTACCATTATGCAAGTCGTAGTTTATCCTCGGTGTTTCACATCCCACGTCCGCTAATAGTACAGGTTTTATTTTCGTGAGATTTGGAGCATTTAATGATATCTCTAGACGTTTTGGCCTGCCGCGGAACCACTCAGCGTATTCAGCATTATTTTGCATATTCTGAAATAAGAAGTCATCGTTGTCTCGTAACCAGTGAATTAAATTTCTTGATTTATTTGAGTAAATAATTTGCGTTTTTTTTAAGTAATTAAATAATATCAAATGTTAGGTAAATGAGAATTTTATTATTTTTATAAATAAAAGTGGTCCTAGTCCAAAACCTTGTAGGAACTAAAAGTTTTCGTTTTATGGATTTGAATACTATCTCTGATTGTTTTTTAATTTTCGTTGAAAAAGTTTTCATGATCTATATTTAAATATCATTTCAATGCAGTTGCTCATAAAGCGCTATTTTTTTAATCCATTACAAAACACCGAAAGTGAATTTTTAAACACGTTTTAAATAAAAATGTACTGAAATCCTTTACTGCACACGTGCTTAAAAGTATTTTTTTAATTTTTTTTGGCCGAGCACCAAAGAAATTTTAAAAAAATTGATGAAAATATGTCAAACTTTAAAAATAATATTTTCAAATAAAAATGTATGACACGAAAACATGTTCAAATATCACGTTTAATTTTAACAAATAATTTTTACCTTTAATGCATACTTAGTTTTATTACCCTATATATTTGTTTTATTTCCTCGCAAAAAGCATTGAAAAATGTTGTAAGAAACTTGAACGTAAAAGGTTTTTCGAGTATGACACGAAAACATGTTCAAATATCACGTTTAATTTTAACAAATAATTTTTACTTTTAATACATACTTTTACATACATACGTTTTAAATAAAAATGTACTGAAATCCTTTACTGCACACGTGCTTAAAAGTATTTTTTTAATTTTTTTTGGCCGAGCACCAAAGAAATTTTATAAAAATTGATGAAAATATGTCAAACTTTAAAAATAATATTTTCAAATAAAAATGTATGACACGAAAACATGTTCAAATATCACGTTTAATTTTAACAAATAATTTTTACCTTTAATGCATACTTAGTTTTATTAACCTTTATATTTGTTTTATTTCCTCGCAAAAAGCACTGAAAAATGTTGTAAGAAACTTGAGTGTAAAAGATTTTTCGAATTCGTGCCAATGAAAACCCTTGCTACGCTCTTGTTTTCAATTTGGCCCTTATTCGTAATACCTTACTTTCCGCACTCATATCTTAAATAACTATTTTATATCCTAAGTAATTGTATAAAAGATTATAAAATATTACCTCAATCGCTTGAATGTACATAGCGTCGATAGCTTTAGCGTCTTTATATGAGCACAAATCTACGACGAGTTTATCGTCTCTCTCGAATGCATTGATGATATGGAGATAGAACATAGGCTCTGTGCAGAATCGTTTCACTTCGGCGCCTGTGCTGCGGCTAATGAGGACTATGTGGGTCTGGAATACAGAAAAGTTAAAAACGAACGAAGTGCGATTTTCTCGCGATTAGTTTATTATTTTCCTACTTGTATTTTTGTTATACTGACATGTAGCACCTTTGGAATTATTGAGATGTGATGATATACAATTAACTGACCCTCACAACATGTCACTTAACAGTAACATAAAAATGTACTGCAAAGATTTTTTTATTAATTATTATTATTTAGAAGCAGAAAATAACAAAGAAATATTTATCAGGTGGAGCTCGGAAATGTGATTGCCACCAGCAGATGGTTAAATAATTCAATTTCTACTTCTAATTTAAATGGAAAATAATTTATACATAAATATTAGATAACATCACATATAGTGCTCAGATGCCTTCGTATTACGGAGCATCTGAGACAACAGAGGCACCACAATACACACACCCGAGACATTGTAGAAAAATTTATTTGCAATATTAACCAGCAGTGCGATTCTGTAAAGATTCTGTATAGATTCAAATCTGTATAAAACGAAATTCGAAATTCTGTATATACGAAGATTTTGGCATAATCAACCCAGCTACTATTCTCCTAGTTTTATCTAAAATTTGTATGAGCCACAAACTACCTCAACATTTCTTTTATTTAATGTTTTTCGTGATCTTAATTTATAATGTAAATTAAGCTATTTCAGTATGGCATATTTGTGCACAATATTCTTTTGATTCCCTTTTTTATAAAAAAACTAAACAATAGTAATTAATTCATAGATAAGCATCTCAGATATTCCATCCATATGTCATTTCAAAACTAACTCATCGTAATGAGAATACCAATGAGGAAGTATTTAAAAAAAAACATTAGTTCTCGAAATCAAACTAGATGTCGCTACGGTACGTTCTTGATTTCTCAATGACAACCCTCCTGATTTTCTTTCATGTTTAAAAGTAAATTAGTTTTCAGAACTCAATAAATAAGTCATATTCTATTTGTACTTTTTCGTATTTGTATTCATATCTAAGTTTTGAACTTTTCAAATTTAAGTTTTTTAATATGCTAGTTAAAAGGAACGGAAAATGTCTGGCTTTTGGTCCGTTCGTTTCCTGCAAAAATGAACTTTTGCTAGACTCGCCATCTAGTGGAGGTGCTTTTTTAGTGCTTTCGTTTTTTTTTTAATACTTCCTCATTCAAGTTAATCGGATTGGCTTTCGAAGTGAGTTTGGTTACCCGAGTGCATTCGAATTCGGGTTCGGATTATTCGGAATCGTTTTGATGGATCTCAGAGATGGTAACACCTTGAAACCGGCGTGTGAGCGTTTTAGCTATGGAGTTGGTAATGATGAGGGCAATGAGGACGGTCGGTTACCTCGTAGTGCGGGTACCAGTGCAGACTGGCGGCGACGGGCCGCTGCGTGAGGTGGCTGCGCAGGAGCCCGCCCAGCGACACCGACAGCGGCTGCTCCACTATCACGAAGTACTGCTCCGTCATACCTACACAATACAATAATCTCACATCATATAGGCTTAATATCAATTCAAAGCATCTAAGGCAACTTTTCAATTGCAGTTGTGCGACTGACTATGATTGTGTTTAACCTATTTTTGTTTTTTTTTTGTACTTGTGTTTTCAAAAACCGTGGTCGTTATAAAGGTGCTTGTCCACAGCCTCAACACGCACGACATGCAACGCACTGCACGAATTTGTCGCTGTTTTGATGTTAGAATTATGCTAAGGACGTCATAGGAATTATGAATATTATCCGTTGCGTGTCGTGCGGCCGGTGCATAACTGCTGACATATATACGTTCAACTTTAGGCAATGCCATTACCTTATATATATTTTATTAGTATATTTAATAGTTGTCTCGTTAGCTTATTTATACATATAATAGACAGATGCTACAGTAAGTTTTGAATCGAATATCTTACCAAATGTATGCATGTATGAAGGGAATAGCGTCCAACGAGGCCGCATGGTTCCCACCACACGTGCGCTTTCAAACATGTCTCCTGGTTAAAAATATGTATGAGTATTAATTATGTGTTCTTTTTGCATTATTATGCAATAGCTGTTTTTTTGCAACTTCGCCCTAGTAAATTATAGCCTAGTTAAAACCCAAACCGAGACAGACAGGACAGACAAAATATACTGGAATGGGAATGGCTGGTTATGCCGACAACAAGCTAGATATAGACGGTATCTCTAAAGTAGCAAACAAAAGCCCAACGCCGTAATAAATTGGGGCTAAACGTAGAAGACATATACTCAGCAATGGATGGACGTGGATGGAAGAAGAAGAGACTCCATGTCTTTTCTTCTGACACGGTGATCGTGATAGTGACTATAAATGAATATATTTTATAATATACTTTGTTACCTAACTGTTATCACCTCGTACATAAATTAGAAAAAGATCAAGACTTTGACTTTTGACTCAACACCATCTTATTCGTATATTATTTTTGTGTTAACATGTGGCATTTAAAAATTGTATCCTTAGCGTTGATAAAACCTGAGTGAAAGTTGTGTGGTGTATTGATTCAAGTAGTCGATAAACGACGCTTATTCTGAACAAACGTATCTTATTTAACTGACCATCGCTCCGAATATCAGAGTTGAGAAAGAAAGTCATAATCTACCAAAACTTCTTTTAATATTCTTACCTTTTTCTGCATATGGAAACTTCACGACTACGTGCCGCAGTCTACCCTTGACCACTGACATGCCCACATTGTAGACGTCACCTGAAATAAAAACAGTATTTGTCATATAGAAAAATATTTAAACAAATTCCCTAATACTATGCACCAGACGGAACTGGAACCAGTATAATTTTGCTAACCGGACGACTGTTAACCTAGTCTAATCAGTGATGGACTTTATACCTTCATCGTCCCCAGCCTCTATTGCTAGTAGTGGAGAAATGAAAAAGCTGGTGGTGATGAAGGTATGCTTAGGAATTTTTTATTTAAAATTTTTGATCAGCCATCCCATGACTGATCATTGCGAAAGGTGCTTAAGCTCCGAATCGCAGATCAACTCGCTAATGACTGCGCCATCGAGTAATTAGCGCATTCAGTCACTATTCAGAGACACAGCATGGTGACTGATGACGGACAGCTCAGCTATATAAATAGGGTCCCGTTTTTATCCTTTGGGTACGGAATTTTAAAAACGGGAATTTTAAAAATTAAAAAAAAAATTTATGAAGTAATTGTAAGAAAAACAACAATTAAATTTTCCATACAAATAGTCAAAAACTTTAGGTTGTACAAGGTTCGCTAGCATTATTATATGGTACTTTTGGTCTCACTAATCTTTTAGATTCGAAAATTTCGTCTAAAACCCCGCAGTATTTGAAACGGTTTCAGCGCGTTTGTGTTTTCTTTCATGCCTGACCCTTTACAAGTCTTATGTGAACACGGAACCTATAAAATTTAAGGAACCCCGCTGTATATTTTTATACTTGTACATAATATACCGTTTTTCATCACGTGTGGATGCGAGGTGTGGTTGACTAATGCGTTACCGCCGGTGTTCATCAGATCGCGACGTTCCAGGGTATCCAAAGTCACCGGGTCCACTCTGAAAACCGATAACAAACAAATCTACAATAATATTATAAAAAGGTAAAGTTTCTATTAACTTTGTTTGTTTTTATTGTAAGGGTAATCTTCAGAAATACTGATGTGAACATGAAAATTTTTTCACCTGCGGAAGTATCACATAATTACATGGACAAAGTTGTGGGAAAACAGCTAGTATTATAGTATTTGTAATGTGTTTCAGTAGTCTGTCATTATCATATCTTTCCGCTAGAATTAAAAAAGATAACATTGATTAAATTATGTTAAAAAAGGAGTAAACATCACTAGACATGGTTCAATATTGGGGGGTAGTTATTAGTTCAATATTTAATTTACTCTAATGACCGTCTGATAATCATCTCTTTACAAAGAATGTATATGAAATATAAATATTATAATTCATTAACATTTTTTTACAATTATATTCGAATGGTGCAAGAACAAAGAAAAATAAAAATACACAAACAAACATTCAAACATTACACAAAAATTCAATGTCATCTAAATTAAGATATATATATATTCTTATGCAAGAAGACGTAGGTAGTATTTATTAATTATTCGTTGGGTAAGATGCACTGACCCCTATAGAAATCCTCCAGCGTATAGAAACAACCGACTACCAGAAATTGCCTCAATATTATAACTTCTGTTTAGTGTTTAGAGCTAATAAAACTAAAGAGTAGTGTAAGTGTGCCCTGTAATAATCATTTTGTAGTGATACGAAATATTAATAAAACTACCTGTGAATGAAGGGTGCCTCTGTGAATGCATACATTTCATCCCCGAACGGATAGACGGATATCATTGCGTTATCTGACATCCATTCACCGGGCTTGAACACCGCTGCAACCCTGAGGATATGTATTTTTTTTAAAAACATCGGTTTGATTCGGTTCCATTCATATGGCCTGAGCACCAGCAGTGGGGACAGTAATAGGTAGGTAACGACATCGTTATAAAATACAATGAAACACAAAGTATACGAGAGCAGACATCATCGTTTTGCATCCATTATTGCATCATCAAGCACTGTTACATTTTAGGCGTTGCGCAAACGTTGGCGTTGGATGATGTACTGACACGGTTCGTCATCATAAGTGTGACTACACCACCAGCTATACAATAAGAAGAAAAGTTAAGCAACAGTTTTGGAGAATGCATTTTAATAGTCCACATTTCTGCGAATGAATAACTAGCCCTGAAAAAAGCCATATCAACTTCACTTGTCCCTATAAAATAAATGAAAGAGAAACTAATTACAATGGAAGGGGGAAGTATTGATAACAACTGGTTGTTTATTTTCCATCAGTTACAAGATCAAGGTCGATGAAGAAAAACAAGTTCAGGAAAACAAGTCTACGTCAACGATTTCTTTGGTCCAAGCAATAAGCCTTGTCTTTGGCTGATAATAGATATCATAGATACTTTAATCTATTATTGCTCAAAAAGTAGCTGTTATAATTTGATTTGATTTGATATGACTGATTACTTTGTATTTCACACGATACACGAACGTGTGCACGTAATAGGTATAAACTATCAGGAAATTATATAAACTATCTAACTACAGATTAAAAAACACATACAAATGCATATTAAATTTCGTCGGTAAATAGGGATGATGACTGGGTAAAAAAATGCAATTCTATTTAGTCCATCAGTCAGATAATAGAAAAATATTAGATACGTATTTTTTTTTTACTTCAATTTAACAAGAAATAGCTTAGATAACAGGCATTAAAGTTGAGGAGTGGGGGCTCGCTACTTCACAGTTGAGTAGAAAACATACCCTAACGTGACGTCATTCGAAATTTCAACTCCATGTAACGCCGTAATTTTATGATAACGAAAAAAAAAAAATACGGGTTTAATATTTTTTAACACTCTACCTGACGGACAAACAAACAAAAATTAGTCATCTTCCCTATTGGTACTGGGATTATGCATGGATCTATGAACATCAGCTTTTACCCGCAGAGTTATTTGCTATAACCATATTCTAACGTTACCTCTGAAATCGTCAGCACATATCGCACACCTAGATCTAAACTGAGATAACTCAAAAATGTGATTGAGTTTTGACTTAGTACAATATTCAAATTCTCTGTGATCATATGCATCTATCCAACATAACAGATTCAATAAAGGTTCGGGGATGAGCCGCTAGATAACTTTAGCTTTCTTTTGTTGAATCAACAGTGGTCGCGCTCCTGCCACGTAAACAAATGTATTATCAAACCTCCAAATTAGTTTTTTGAGTTGTCTTAGTTTAGATCTAGGTGTGCGATATTACCAACCTATCAAAAATACTATGGCACGGGTCAGGCACAGCCGCAGTGCCGAACTCGGACACGACGATGCGTCCAGCCGCCTGGTTCTTCTTGAAAGCTTGCGATTGTAAAAATCGACACTGATACGTCACTGCACCTTCACTTATCGCAAATCTGTGGAAATTAATAATTTATTTGGAAGTGGCTTGGAAATCAGTTAGACCGATTGCATCTTAGTGAATAACTTGCATCTTTCATGATATTAATAACTCAAATGAAGCGTTGATTTCATTTAAATAAGACGTTTTTATTTAGAAAGACTATTAATGATATGATATTTTGTTTTTCTTTCAACTTTTTGATTGAGCTGCTGAACGCCAAACGCTTCTGAAAGCTGATTTCTTTGGTTCATAAAAGTTGCTAGAACAAAGTCTACATCTACATCTGTCGTAAATCGACTTTTTGTTTCTTCGCAGTAAATTTTCAGAAGTATTTCCAAATGGAACGAATATGATCGTCAATTTATTATACTATCCTTTTTTGAATAAATACGCCGGTAAAAATGAGTCCGTCATCTTATTTCTGCTCGTCTAGTACCAGAAAACTAGGCTAGACTATGAGTAGGAATACATCTGTGACAAATTATGTCCACGGTCATCAACCAATAGAGTAATGTGCGTATTCCAGTTATATCTATCAGTTTATTAGGCAGATCGATTGCATTAATTCGCGATTAAAGACAACCGTTCATGTAACAACTCCTTCCTCTAGATTACTGGGTCGAATGTCAATTGTGGTCAGGTTATTCTCGTTGTGTATGTATCGATCACCAATTAGGTCACAAAACTATAACACAGGTGTTGTAGAATGCTGTATAAAGGAAAACAATATAATTGAGATAAACTAAGCATGGCCACGGATGGAATGAACTCTCATACTCTAATTTTTATAAGACAAATTAATAAATTGCAATGAAATAAAGAGAACTATCACAAATGCAAAGCCGTAGACAATTGCAAACGACAAGACCTAGGCCTGATATTTTTTAATTAATATTCCTAACTAGCTTTCGCCAGCGGCTTCGCCCGCGTGGTCCCTAGGGAAATGTTTAGTCGGATAAAAAGAACCCTAGGAAAAAAGTACACTATTATCTAAGTCAGCCAATACCCTATCTGTATACCAAATTTCATCAAAATCCGTTCATTAGTTTCGGCGTGATAGACCGACAAACATCCAAACAAAGAAACTTTCACATTATATAATATTAATAGGATTATTCTCCTTAGGAAACTAAATGATTCGACATATTTAAAGTTTATAAGCTGAAAAATTCATTAGAGATTATAATTCAATTACTAATCACTACAGAAGTTGAGTAACTTTTACTTGAACCGGTCATAGGAATAGGATGATAATGAAATATTTACTCCTCCGTGCTTCGAGAGACACGTTGAATACCCACCAATACGCCCTAGATTAGTTATGCCCCATTTTTCCTATTTGATTCGATTCCATCGTGAAAGTACTGTACTCTTGGAAATTCAATAGGGCCGTGATGATAATAAAGATATCTTTGTAGGCCGCATTGTAAAAATCTTTGCAGTTTATTTGGTCTAGCATAATGAGAAAGTCTAATGAAGTACTGAACTCGTAGTCCAAAGGAATCTTTATTATTAAAGTATAGGATGACAGTAGAGTTTCTAATGTGGAACCAACCACTAAAAGCACCTAAGATCTTCAAGAGATTAACTTACCTGTGCAATAAAGCTGCGCCATCGAAGAGGTGATCGAATCGCATATCTCCGACCTTTAATGAACCCGGCCCGTTGCGAAGGAGACTACCATTGAGCCACGACGGGATTTCTCCTGGTAACGATACATTGGCTTATTAAATCATCAAAGGATTGAACATGTATACCGTCTTATTATAAAACGACGACTAGAGGTAATTTAGCCGCCTAGAAGATATTGACAATGACTAAAAAGAACGTTAGATTCAGCCCTGTTGACTTATTTTGTTACGATAACGGTTTAAACCTGGTACTAAAGCCTAGTCCTTGTTGTATAATAAGACGGATAAACTTTTGTCGTCGCCAAATTATGAAGGTCAATTGGGTATTTTATATATCCAATCTGGAACCCACTAACCTTTAATAAAAACTGTCTAAAAAAATTTGTGTAGACGCACAGATAATAAGTATTGTTCCAAAGGTAGAACCCGAGACCTTTGGAACAATACTTATTATCTGTTAATTATTTTTTTATTCTTTATTGCAATTCAGCAAATGGCGGACTTTATGCCGTATGTCATATGTGACAGTAACGAATATATGAAGTCAAAGTCAAAATGATCTTTATTCAAATAGACTTCTTAAAAGTACGAGTACTTTTGAATCGTCCAACATTTTTTCCCTACCACTCGTTCAGGAAATCTTTTGGCTGATAAGAAGAACGAGCAAGAAACTCACCAGCTCTAAAGGGAGTTACAACATTCACAAAACCTCATTACCAGATTAATACATTATAAATAGAGAGAAAAAACTATGATCTTACGATGATAACATAATAATAATTTAATAATGGCAACAAGATAACTTTGAGAAATAATGAGTTGTTGGACATACTTAAGTCCAAGCATTTATATCTGTTATATAATCAGATACCTTATAATAAGCTTATTTAATGAGTATTTTTAATAGTAGATTTAAACCGCATGATATCTAATAGTTGTATTTTGTTAATAATGTATTTTATTCTTTTGTTTATTTGTGAAAACTTGTAATTGGCGTTATTGAGTTTATATAGCTTTATATTTCTTCATTAGCTGTAAGTTTTCCAAAAATTGTAAAATAAAATAAGACCTTATTGTAGAAGCGCAAACAATGACAGTTAGCCGTTGCTTTAAACTAGGCGGTTCTGCGGTAGGTTCACCAACCGAAACAAATAATAATAATAGTTGTTGAAATGAAATAAAAATATATTTATTCAAATAAGCTTATTACAAGCACTTTTGAATCGTCCAAAAAATTTTTTCCCCTACCACTTGTTCGTCTTTCAGCTTTTAAGTTACAACAGATATATCGTACATTACGTGTAAACAAAATTGACTTGTACCCACTAACGTATAAAGAATGTTAAACGGCGAAGTCACACAACATTAACTATAACAATAAAGAAATCGCAGTAAGGAACCTTAGAATTGGAACGACTTTGTCTAGATTTCATTACTTTAAAGAGATAAACAAGCAGCTCCATCGAGACTTGGCTAATTTTTTACAGAATGTTTTTTGGTGGGTAATAATTTACCTGTAATTTGTCCCTCCAAAGGCTCAGTGACTTCTTGCTCACAAGACCGTAACCACACTGAAGGATCACAGTTGGGGTACAGTTTTGATGTATCTGACGACATATTGCCTAAAAACAGATTTTAAAAATAAAAATCGCGCATATGTAGATAATACCGATCAATGCACAAGTACGTCAATAAAGTAAATGTAATATAAAAAATATTGCATTTAGGCTTACTGCGGACCTACATTCATTCATTCATTTATTATGAGTTAATTTGGAGAAAATAATAGATAATTATATAAAACAATTTTAACATTACATTACAACTATCCGAATTGATGTTTTTTAGTTTTGAAAAGGTAAATGCACATGTGATGGAACTTAAAAACGGGTTTATCATATTTAGATTAATCACAAACTCTTCCAGCTAGTTTTTATTATTATCTTTTTTTATAAACTTTTGAATTCAGTAACCAAACAAACATAATCTTTTTTATTGAATTAATTTGACCGTACACCATTTTAAACGACTTTTCTTCAATTGCTACACAATCTTTTACACGAAAATGGTCCGGCACTGCATTTAAAGTTACATTAAGATATATGTAAACGGCGGTATTACTTATTACTGACTACTTATAATTATTCACATAAGCAAAGCATATTTATGAAATTATCCTTTTAAATAAAACTTTAGTTTAATGAATTTAAGAATAAAACATTAAAGTTATTTACAATATTTTTAATTTTGCAAACAAAAGGTTTGTATCAAAAAATTTCTTTGAGCTTAAAATTTCTTAAGCTTAAACCTTCTTTTCTTTTTTAATGTAATCAGTGTCATTCGCTGTAATAACATGAATATCTAGTCATAAGTCTAAATCCACCAAGTCTTTCATACCACAGTATACATACACTATAATAAAAGCAAATCCTTATTCTATTACAGTCGGGTAAAATACCTACCAAATGTCTAAAATGCGTCAAAAAAAGAAATACGTTCGGATAACAATATTATTTCTTAAATGTTAACGAGAACTCGTTATTGTAAGTACGCAATTATCATTCCTTAAAACACATTACGACGTCATTGTATTTAAAAAAAAAGCGGTATCATTAGTAATGTCAATTTTAAAAACTCACAAAATGTAAAGTTACTACGGTACTCACTGGCAAACAAATGGTCTTCTAATAGAAAAAAGGTTTACTTAAACTGTTGATTATTAAGAGGATGATAACCGGGTAACGTCGCGTCGTAGACTGAACTGAGTGTAGAGTCGTCGGGTGGCTGTATCCAAGCAGAGGGTGGACGCCCGGACTGTAGAGGGATGAGTCGCGACAATCCGCGCGCGTGACATTGAACTTACGGACCACGTGTCTAAGCAATACTGTCACAGAATAAGTAAAGAAGGCAATCACATGTAGGCATAAATCGTACGAATTAACATGACACCTATTCGATTTGTCTTCGAACGAAACTTATTGTGCAAATTAAACTAAATTAATAGACATACTATTACAAAGCAAGATGTTAAAATAACAAAAACATAAATTTTTAGATTTGTCAATTTTCCTTACGGAAAATTCTTAAAATGCGTGGTCTATGTGTGCGTTGCTCGTGCGCACTTTGTACTTATGTAGATCACGTTCTGTACCTACTTGTTCTATGACACTGTGCTGTACTCTCTATACACGACTGGCGGCGTACTGTCTAACTCAAAGCTATAGTTAAAACAATAGCTAAAACATAATTTATTAATGTCTCGGTATTTACAATTTACTAATAATTGAATATCATAGTTATATTCTCTCTTCATTCTCCAATGTACAATTTAAAGTATTAAATTTTGCCAAAGATGAAAAACTGTTGTCTCAACAAATCACTGCACATATCACTACACACTTTAACATCAAACTATTTTTTTTACAAATAAGTTTGATTGAAAACACCCATGAATCCTTTATTACATTTAAGCATAATATAAGACTTAAGTGTTTTAACTTAAACTAAACTTAAGCATAATAGATGAAAAAATAATTTTGTAATACATACGATAACGTTCTAAATAACAAAATAAATAATAATCAACTATAGTCGATAAAGTCTTCTTTTACTATGATAAAGTAATAAGTGTTCTATGATTACATACGGACATTTACATTTGTTTTTATCTAGGAACTTGGCAAGATCAAGCCGTAGATTAGGTGGTGATGAAAAGTAAGTTCATATATTTTTCAAAACTCTTTAATGACTTAAGAATTTTTATGCTTAAATTCAGATGCAACTTTAAATAAAAAAAAAATATGATATTTTCTATATTACTTGTTTGTCACAAAGTGGCTATTTATATATTGATCATGAACTCAGTCCAAATAGTTTTTGCATGATTTGGCTAATCTCAAAAATAGTAGTGTTGGGCAAAGTGAATAGGGCATAGTGGATATGGTATCCACTTTGCCCTGATTTAAGATTATTTAGTTTCAGATTATAAAAACCATATTTTGTTGCAGATGGTGAATAAAAACAAAAAAAAAATATCAAGGCTCATGGGATAAAAATGTGATGCAAACGGTTATCCATACCGTGTTCAGTGAAGATTAAGAGACGGAGTTAATGGTCTATCTCAAAAACATGACTTCTGTGTTTTTGGTTTAACTCGAGATGAGTTTAAAAATTCAGCATACACCTACGCCAAAAAAAATATTTGATTTACCTAAAGAGTTGGGACAAACAGAAAAAGCTGGAAATGATTGGTTACAATATTTTTGTCAAGTCACAATGAATTTACGCTGAGGACTCAAAAGGATTTAACAGACATGAGTCGGAAGGTTCTACGAAAATCTTGAATCTTTGATTAATAAACATGATATTGATGCTTCTAGATTTTATAATTTGGATGAAGTCGGTATTTTAGCAACGCCGAACCACCTTTCCTTAATTTCGCTAGAAAGAAAATGCAACACAGACTTCTTGACGGTGCACCTCCCGAGTCTCAAGGTACTTTTACGCCAAATGGTTGGACTTCAGGTGAGATATTTCTACATTGGATGCATTTGTTCCCTTGGACGATCACGAGAGCTACAAATATTTTCCTGCATTGGAATAAGCAAGTAAAAATAACGTCATCATTTTCTCATTTACCCCGCATACTACTCATAAAGTACAACCAATGCATGTGGCCGTTTATGGCCCACAAAACACGTATTTAAACACGAAAGAGGCCCCTCTTTCGTGTTTCAAAATGCTAAACCTGGGCGCATTGTAAATCAGTACGACGCGGCCAGACTGTTATCACCAGCAGTTCTGAAAACTGCAGTAACTATGAATGCAATTCATGAGTTTGAACGAGCTGGAATTTGGCCAGTGAATAAATACGTTTTTGGTGATGAAGACTTTGAACCAGTGGATGTGATTGCGGGAAAATCAAATATGAATGCAGACTTATTAGGTATAAATTTAATAGAGACTATAGATATTCCGAATCCCACTGCAGAAGTGTAGTTCGCTCTGTTGTTCTACCGGATCTAGAAAACGGAGTCTTATAAAGTATGTTCTGTTTTTAAGCCGAATGGCATAAGTTTTCCTATGATTAATTCATAAAAAATGTACTCTTACCTGTGACCTCACAAAATACTAATAATAATAATTTCCGTTACGACTCACCGAAACCAGGTTGTTCAAATATTCATTACAGTCCCTTTATATCGAGATCAATACCAAAACCTGATAGTCGAATGACAACTCGTAAAATAAATTTGCAAAAGTTAGAAATTTTAACCAGTAAACCTATCAAAGAAGAGCAAAAGCAAAGGTTTGAGAAAAATAAAGTTAAAAATATTAATAAGAAACTAAATGTAGAATCAAAGAAAAATCCTTAAAAGACTTTTCAAAAACCTATTAAAAAGATAAACGACCAAAGAAAATTAAGATTTTAGAAGATGTAACTTTTTTTTTTGCGGTACAATATATATTGAAGAAGATGATAAACCAATTGAAGATTGCATTCGATGTGGTGCACGTCTGAAATGGTGTTCTGGCGTGAAACGTTCTTGAATTTTATTTTTTACAAAGTTCCGATTTGCGGTATTTATTTTGTTTCTATCTCTTAAATCTTTCTAATAAAAGCTCAAACATCTTAAGGTAATCTTTACCGGACTTCCCCTACCAATATATAACGTAGTTAAAAGAAAACTATCACATAAAAAAGAACTTCGTTAGACCGTGAAAATTAATATTCCCATTAAAAAAGAAATATGTTTTCGTTAATCGATCAAATCGTTAAATGCCGTGTCATGTAAAGTCATTGATAATAAAACTGATATACAGTATCCATAATAAAATAAAATGAACAAAATTAACTAGTCCAGAGCAGACTAATATTCTTTGACAATTTCCGATCACGAGCATGACACATGAACCATCCATCGCTTTGCTCAACCATATTATAGGGAACGTAACGACCCGATATCACCTGCACATTAGTGATTACAGTGCACTGAGTTAAGTCCCTTTCTGATTCTGTTCTTTGTTGATTTTTCCCCTTATGGCTGGTTTACACGTAATTAAGTAGATGAGTTTAACTACTTGACGTTGGCAAAATGCACAAGTCGTGCTTTCCATACATAAAAGTAGATAAAAATAAGTAGATTCTAATTTTTTAAGTTCATAAGTTGTAACCTAAAATGTTTACTTATTACTTATTTGTGTGTTTACATGTACTTCACTTAAAGTTAAAAATCTATTTACTACTGAATTACATGTAAACCAGCTATGAAGTCATTTTTTATGTAATGAAGAATAAACGAATTATCAGTCTACATCATCTACATATTTAAGCCAGGCAAGTGAGACAACATTATGCGATTTATGGCTGGAATATTGGCATAATAACACATGTAGTTTCATATAACCCGTGCAAATTAGCATTATATTATTTTGAGATAAAAACATGCATTAACACAAAAATGGGGGGTACTTACATAATTTTTCTCTTTTCTCTACTCCAGTGCGAATTTCATTTTGGAAAATTTTCTGAGATGTTGATATTACACGGCGATGTGCGAATTTCTAAATTTCTCGAATCAATTTTAATAATCGGGTGTAATAGTATACCTATAAAT